GATGGTTACAGTGTTGACATTCTTCATAGAGGTGTGTCATTTACGACCAACACCAAGCGTGCGAAATGTACAATGAGAGAATATTTCGCTTATATGATTCAAGATAGAGATCATTCGTTCTCTCTCATTCTTAATTCAAAAAGGTTGTTTCAACAGTTTCTGGTAGATGCCTATACTATGATGGAAACAGACAGATTGTACTACATACGCAGGCAACAACATGTTCTTAGATGTGATTCTTATGAAAATTTACGTAACCAAAAAGCTCAAGGAATGACCGATATCTCCAATGTCGGCCAACGTGTCATATTACCTTCGTCCTTTACTGGTGGAGCACGCTATATGCTGCAAAACTATTTGGATACTATGTCACTATGTAAATGGTTTGGATATCCTAATTTTTTCATAACCTTTACGTGTAATCCCAAATGGCCTGAGATTAAAATGTTTCTTAAGGATACTTCACTTCAACCAAAAGACAAGTCTGATATATTATGTAGGTTGTTCAAGATCAAGCTTGATGCATTCATTAAAGACTTAAAGGAGAATCAAATTTTCGGCAAAGTTCAAGCATGTAATTAAAACTATATTTTTTAATTATTTATAAAACATTACTCTTATTATTATATTTTTTTATATGTTGTTATAATCTAATCACATTTTTTCCCAATACTTTTATAGATGTTTATACCATTGAATTTCAAAAAAGAGGTTCGTCGCATAGTCATATATGTCAATTCATGCATTCTGACAACAAACTACCAACTGTTGAACTTATCGATCCGATAATTTCAGCCGAGATACCAGACGGAATTGAAGATCCTGAATTGTATTCACTTGTGAATGAGTTTATGATTCATGGTACATGTGGAGCTGAAGATATGAATTGTCCATGCATGGTGGACAAAAAGTGTTCTAAAAACTTTCCAAAACAATTCTATAATCATTCGTTTGTTGATCAAAATGGTTTTCCATTATATAGGCAGAGAAACGATGGTCATTTTGTAGAAAAATCAGGTGTAAGGTTGGATAATAGAAATGTTGTTCCATACAACAAATATCTATTGAAAAGATACCAGGCACATGTTAATATGGAATGGTGCAATCAGGGATCTTATGTAAAGTATTTGTTTAAATACATAAATAAGGGTCCTGACAGAGCTACAGTTGTTGTTGTACCAACCAACAATGAATGTGAAAATAATGATGTGGTTGATGAAATATCTGAATATTACGATTGTAGATATTTATCAGCATGTGAACCATCATGGAGAATTTTTAAATATGATGTTCATTGCAGATATCCTTCTGTTGTCAGACTACCTTTTCATCTACCTAATCAACAACATATTGTATATGGCAAAGACAATGATATTGATGATGTTCTTGACAAACCTTCTGTTGCGGCTTCAAAATTCACATCTTGGATGGAGTGTAATGCAATCGACAGTGAAGCACAAAAACTTACATATGTTGAATTTCCTACAAAGTTTCTTTGGATATTAAATAGTGGGTTTTGGAAGCGAAGGAAAGTAGGAAAAGCCATCGGTAGAATTCATTTGGTATCACCTAAACTAGGTGAAGCATATTTCTTAAGGATTCTTTTAAATAAAGTAAAAGGTCCGACATCATTTGATGAAATTCTCACGGTAAATGGTCAAAGATATTCTTCTTTTAGAGATGTTTGTTATGCACTTGGGCTATTAGATGATGACAAGGAATACACTGATGCAATTAAAGAAGCCAGTCATTCTGGATCTTGTTTTTATCTACGCTTCTTATTTGCTACATTGTTGATGTGTAATAGTATGTCTAAACCAGAGGTCGTTTGGGAAAATACATGGGAATATTTGGCAGATGGAATTCTATATAACCAACGACAAAGATTTAAGTCTGTAGGTATTTCTTTTCTTATTTTTACTTCATTTAATTTCTTTTTTTTATTTAACAGCCATTTTATAGTTACTAATAAAATTATTAAATATCGACCACATATTTTCTAAATTATTTAATATTTTCGTGCAGAATTGTCACTCGGAGTAGATGAACTTAAAAACTTAACTTTGTTCGAAATAGAACAAAATTTACTTCGAAACAACTCTACTCTCAAAAACTTCAAAAATATGCCATACCCAGGTGTTGAATTCGTTTCTTCTTAAAACAATTGACTAATCACCAAGGAGCTAGATTACGACATTCCCGTTTTAAAGAATGATTATGATCGTATGTTTCTTGCATTAACAAATGAGCAACGTAACATTTTCCTAAACATCATGAGTGTTATTCAAGAAAATAAAAGAGGTGTCTTCTTCGTTTACGGTTATGGTGGAACGGGTAAAAGTTTTTTATGGAATACAATATCAGTAGCAATTAGATCTGATGGTAATATTGTCTTAAATGTTGCTTCAAGCGGTATTGCTTCTTTATTATTGCCCGGTGCTAGAACAACACACTCTCAATTCATAATTCCATTTGAACTTACAGAGGATTATTTTTGTAAATAAATCCAAATGGTGAGTTGGCTAGCCTAATAATAAAACCCTCTTTAATAATTTGGGATGAAGCACCTATGGTCCATAAGCATGCATTTGAAGCTTTAGATCGAACTTTGAAGGATTTATTAAGGTGTGGAAATTCAACCATCTCAAATATTCCATTTGGAGGGAAAGTTATTGTCTTTGGAGGAGATTTTAGACAAATTCTACCTGTTGTTCCGGGTGGTAGTAGACAGAACATTATAAATGCTTCTTTGAGTTCTTCATATTTATGGCAACATTGCAAAGTCCATAGATTAATAAAAAAACATGAGGCTAACTATTGGAAGGGATCAATCTGATATACGAAAAATAAGAGATTTTGCAAATTGGCTATTGGATATAGGAGAAGGCAAACTTGGTGGCCTGAATGATGGTGAAACGATTATCGATGTTCCTGATGATATTCTCATTAATGATTCACATGATCCTATAGGTTCCTTAATTGACTTTGTATATTCGTCAATGTTGGAGAACTTTAGTAACACAAATTATTTCCAAGAAAGAGCGATACTTGCTCCAAAAAATAAAGATGTTCAGGAAATCAACGACTGTTTGCTTAACAAGTTTCCAGGAGATGAAGTTGAATATTTAAGTTAAGACAACATATGTGAATCTGAATTTGTCCATGATCAGTTTGATTCAAATTTATACTCTCCTGATGTATTAAATGGTCTCAAAGTATCCGATTTACCAAATCATAAGTTAGTTTTAAAAAATGGTGTTCCAGTAATGTTACTGAGAAATATTGATCAGAAAAACGGCTTATGTAATGGCACAATACTACAAGTGTTATCATTGGGAAAACGTGTTATTAAGGCACGTATAATAACTGGAACTAATATTGGAAACCGGACTTTTATTCTAAAAATGTCTTTAACTCCATCAGAAAAAAAGATTCTCTTCAAATTCACAAGAAGACGGTTTCCTTTGGCCATATGTTTTGCAATAACTATTAATAAAAGTCAAGGACAATCGTTATCAAATGTTGGTTTGTTTCTCAAAGACCTAGTTCTTTCACATGAACAATTGTATGTTGCCTTATCTAGAGTTCAAAACAGAGAATGATTAAAATTATTAATTTTAGATAAAGATGGCAAAGTCACAAATAAAACTTCCAATGTTGTTTATAAGGAAGTTTTTCATAATTTGTAGCTAACTTTTTTGTAGAATATTTTATTCATTTTTAGCAAATTACACTTAATCCATCATATTACTTTATTTATTTATAATTACGTATTGTTCATTTTATGTTAATTTCATTACACACACTGGTAATGCATCATCTGCGTATGTCCAACAAGAGTCATGCACCAAAAATAAGGGTTTGCAAAAAACTTCATTTCTAATTAAATACTTATGATTTAGTTTGTAATTAAATACTTACATATCAAAAAGTTTTTAAAAAAATTCAATATTACAATTCATAAGTTGTCAAAATTTATGAAATTTTATTTTATTATTTAATTAATTTTAAAATTCATTTGTAGTTAAATACTTACCATTTATTGTGTAATTAAATACTTACAAATCAAAAACTTATTAAAAAAATACAATATAAGTTTTCTAACTTAATGGTATATTATTTATTACATAATTAAAGTTTAAATTCTATTTAACATTAACACTTGTGGGTTCCACGGGTTTTCACCTACTATATATATATATATATATATATACACACACACTCTTAATTTAATGATAATTAATCTATTTAAAATTTTTAAAAATTATCTTTAAATTAGAGTATAACTAAATTACTAATATACCCATATGTAATATTTTACATAATAGATATTCTTATTCACTATATGATTATTCATGACCTAATTTTTTTTATTGATTAATATTTTACAAAATCGATTAGCAAAAATCTTGTGATTGCATATTCCTAATAATTAACAAAACAATATATTTTCTCTCCTACGATGGATTTAGGAGATCTACGATTATTCATCTTTAAGCAATTTTGTTCTTTGTTTGATTCTTGAGTTAATACAGACATACAATCGACTACATCTTTATTTTATCCATATATTTGAGATTGTTGGGAGAAGAGTGTGATTGTAATCTTACAACTTAACTATTTTTTTAATAATAAAAAATCAATTTAAGAATAGTATTTTTAATTTTTAAATAAATTAATTATGATTAAGAATATACATGTAAGTGAAAGTTAAAAAATAAAATAAAAATAAAGACGTCATTAATATAGTTTGCAGAAACTTTAAATTAGAAAACAACAAGATATTTGTTGCAAAACTCAGAAAAGGATTGTCATTTATATTCCAACCAAAATGGTCAAAATCATTTTAAATTAGAAAACAACAAGATACTTATGATTCTTAATTAGGTTCTTTGAGTTGACCAACATTAATGAAATATAAATTTTTTTAGTCAAAATCATTTTTTATGCAATATATATATATATATATATATATATATATATATATATATATATATATATATATATATATATATATATACCATACAAATAAAAGTTTAATAGGTAGTATAGAAGATACCAAGTTTCCATTTTGCACCATGATTATCCTCATTCTCTTTCTCATTTCAATGTGCGTCTTTTGGTTCGTAAGGGCTAGAGGTTTCAAGCTCCGACCACCACTGCCCCCGGGCCCAAAACCATTGCCATACATCGGTAGCATATTTACAATGCTTCGAAACAAGCCCACATTTCGTTGGATACACAGCATGATGGATGAAATGAACACCAAGATCATATGCATCTGTCTTGGGAACGTTCATGTTGTTGCTGTTAGTGATCCGCAGATTGCTCGTGAGTTCTTGAAGGACAAAGATGGAATATTCTCCTCAAGGCCTAACTGCATGTCGGGTTATCTGACAAGTGGAGGTTACTTGACCACCGTTCTTGTTCCAATGAGTGATCATTGGAAGATGATGAGGAAAATCCTGGCCATAGAGGTTCTGTCACTGCATAGACATAACTGGCTTAAAGACAAACGAGACAGAGAAGCTGATAATCTGCTAAGGTATGTAGACAGAATGTGCTCACTTTATTGGAATCAGAGCCATCATTTTATGCATAACGAAAAAAAATTAACCCTGATAGCTAAAAGTTCACATCTCTAATCTCTTAGGTACATTTACAAGCAATGCTATACCAATATTAAGGTCACCGGAGGGATTGTGAACGTACGAATTGTTGCGCAACAATACTCGACCAACATCATAAGGAATATCATGTTCGGGAGTAGGTATTTCGGCAAAGGGAACATAGATGGTGGACCTGGGGAAGAAGAGATCGAGCATGTCGATTCACTTTTGACCGTTCTTGGTTACCTGTATGCATTTAGTATATCAGATTACTTCCCGTGGTTGCGGTGGATAACTGATTTTGATGGGCATGAGAAGATCATAAAGAATGCTATACGTACCTCAAGAAAGTATCAAGATCGTATGGTTGATGAAAGGATTTGAGAATGGAAAGATGGAGTTAGGACAAAAGAAGACGATTTGCTTGATGTTTTCATCAACATTAAGAACCCTCCATTAACCGCAGATCAAATCAAAGCTCAAATCTTTGTAAGATTAACGTGATTTTTGTTGTTTGATCATCGTAAATTTGTATTTTTTTAATGCAATATGGATTAATAACCTTGGTGATGTTACAGGAACTTACATTAGCAACATTTGATAATCCAGCGAATGGTATCGAATGGGCAATGGCAGAAATGATAAACCGTCCGAACATCTTCAATAAAGCGGTGCAAGAGCTAGATTATGTAGTTGGAAAAGATCGACTAGTACAAGAATCCGACATACCAAAACTTAACTATATTAAATCATGTGTGAAGGAGGCTTTTAGGTTGCACCCTGTTTCACCTTTTAACCTCCCTCACGTGTCATCCAGCGACACTGTTATCGCCGGATACTTTATACCTAAAGGTAGTCATGTGATACTGAGCCGCTTAGGGCTAGGGCGGAACCCTGATGTTTGGGAGGACCCAATGATATTTAATCCGGATCGTCACATGAAAGATGCTAAAGAAGTGTTGCTAACCGACCATAGCCTTAAAATGTTGTCATTTAGCACCGGTCGATGTGGATGTGGTGGAGTGTTGTTGGGTTCGACCGTGGCCATAATGTTATTTGCGAGGATCGTGCATGGGTTTACATGGGAGTTGCCTCCAGATGAAGCATATGTTGATTTAAACGAAAACTTAACAGATTTGATGAAGGCTAAGCCATTGTTGGCCTTTGCAAAGCCTCGTTTGTCTCACCATTTATACCCCATATATTGAAAAAGTGTTAAAATTGATGTGGAAATATAGATTGAGCAATTACTATCTTTCTATCCGAAGATTAATTGATTGATTTGAGTTGTTTCGCTAAGAAATTGATAGATAAAATGTATGGATGGTCAAAAGTTATCCAAATATTAGTAGGGACTATATCTTCAAAAAATTTATTAGTAAAAATAATTAAAGCATTTATTTTATAGTAGTTTTCGGAATTATATTTAATAACTTAATTATCAATGAAATATAAAATAGACTAAAAATATTAAAATATCAACACAACCTATTGTGTTATTGTTAGATTATTACCAAACTATTAAGATATATAGGAGTAGATAAATTTGTTGTTGCAAAACAAAATCAAACTGTTCAGAAACTACTGGAAACCTAACCTCTAGCGACATAATCAACTAAAGATTCATTTTGTAGCTAATCTATGATGGTTTATCAAGAGATCATGTAACACCATAAATTTTCAAAACAAAATTTTCATTTTTAAGATCACATAATTCTCATAAACACAGTTCACAAATCTCCAAAATGATAGTTTATCAAAACACATGTTCATAATTGTTTAGACACAATCCAGGATCCTTAAACATAACTTTGTATATTGTGTACAATCAAGTCGGCGCCTTCCCGCGATCCTGAGAAGTACCTAAAACACATAACACACAACACGGTAAGCACGAAGCTTAGTGAGTTCCCCAAAATACTACATACACAAATAATAAGCCTCTAATGGCTATAGCTCGGCATCGACCCTCCGGTCATGCATCTTGGTGAGGACCCTCCGGTCTCACGACTCAGTGTGGACACTCTGGTCATGTGTCTCAATGAGGACCCTCCGGTCTCACAACTTGGGTTGGACCCTCCAGTCCTGTATCTCGGTGAGGACCCTTCAGTCCGATCTCAAAACGCACAGAATAATATAGCATATATCATAAAGACAAAAATGCATAATATCACAATACTCAATGTAAGCACATAAGACCCTTCGGTCACACAAAGATTACCACTCTAGGTAAGTATAGTGAGAAGACTCACCTTGTAAGCAAGCAAGCAAATAAACCTCGTATACGGATCACCGATCTAGCCTCTGCCTAACACATAGGATAATTATCTCTAAGTCCATAACTATTTCTGGTATGTACTTGACCCGACCCGGCATGGTCCATTTGGGTTGCATGGCACCATGCAATTGGATAGACTAAATGAGAGAAATAACACTTAGAGATTATTAATATATTATAAGTTCTAATATATTAATAATATTATTTGATTAGTTTGATCAAGAATTAATTTAGAATTAATTATGTGATCAAAAGATAACTAATTAAATATATGGGTTGATTATGTAAATCATCCATATCTTGTATAGTGGGCTAAAAGGCTCCATGGACTATCAAGTTGGGTTCCACCCATAGGATGCTCCATGGATGCTCCATGGGAGTTACAAACCCATGGGTCATGGAAATGAAGAGTCATGACACATTAGGGTTTAACCCTAGATGTGTCAACACTATATAAGTAACATGTTCTCCACCTAAAATCGACTACACTAAGAAATAAGAGGGCTTGGCCGATTTTGAAGAAGTGTGTGTTCTCTCATAAGTTCTTCCAAGAGCATTTGGTGTTGTGTGAAGCATTTGAGGCATCACACTTGGGGTGCTAGGCTCACAAGGTTTCAAGGAACACAAACAACAACAAGGTAAGTTATTCTATCTATACTTTATGTTAAAATTGTTCCCCATGTATGCTAGATAGGAATATAACCTTGGAATTCAACTTTGCATGACAATTAGACAAACATAGATCCAAGGTTATTAGGGTTGCATGTACACTTAGGAAGTGTTAGAATGCTCAAAACCCATCAGTGGTATCAGAGCCTAGGCTTGTTTGTTCTTATTTGTGCTTAAAAGTTGAAAACAGAATCGGAAATCTTGCTGTCTGCGAATGGACTCGTCGAGTCCATGAGTATCTTCAACCAACTCGGCGAGTCAGTTCATGCACTCGGCGAGTAGGGTCGACTGAGTGCAGAATTTCGATTCAGTTGCTGGAAATGAATTAGAAACATTACCCTAAACTGTTTTGGTAATTGAAAACTTGTTTTTGGTGGTGTAATGTCTTTGCTAATTCATTTACAACAACTAGTTATCAAAATTACAAAGTTTTATGTAATTTTTGATTGTGTTCATATCATGTTCTTGTTCTTATGATGTTTTAGATGATCATAGGAATTATTTGTAACCTATGTGGTAGATTAATTCTTGATCATAATGTGTTTTAATGGAGTCCATAACTTATCCTTAAGTTATGGAAAACCAAGAGTCACACTTGAGTTAAAACCATTAAAACAAATACAAGAGTTAGAAAAATGAAGAGTCTTCATTTTATTACTCTATTAAACTCATAAGTTACAAGAAATGAAAAGTTTTGAAAGTTACAAAACTTGCCCTCAAGTTTTGGAACAAGTAAAGTTAAGTTAAAACTTTAAGTTCCAATCCCTAGAATTTTAAAAGTTAAAATTCAACCCTTATACTTATATTATGATGATTTAATAATTATATATATATGTATAAGAATAAAGTCGTCTTACCGCTAGTACGCCTCATTCACGAAGCCGGTCTATAAGGTGGGTATAAGGTTGTTGCCTATAAAATGGTGACTTAATGGGTGTATATTCTCACCCACCGCTTGCTTGACTGGTGGAGGGTCGTTAGCCGAACGGGTAAGACAAGGACTTATAAATTCTCATTCAAAGTATGATGAATATAATAAAGTAACTAAATGTTTATTAAATTCCCAATCTTAGTTACTTTAGGAAAATGTGAATAAGGTGCTAATCCATGAAATTACACTTTACACTTTGTCTAAGTCGTTGGTGGAGCGTGTGTGGTTAACCGGCACACTAACTTGGACTTAACAAGGTAGGTAAAGGGTGACTTAAGGTTTATTATAGTATCGGTGGAGCGTGTGTGGTTTACCGGCACATCGATTGAGTGATAAACTTTAAGGGTACCAAGTGATTTGCATGGTTACTTCACACCTCGTTTTGTGATCCTCGGCATCCCAGTCACAAAACCTGGAGGGCACTCTCGAGATTGAAACATGCCTTTGAAAAGTTCATTGGATCTCAAAGAATCTAGGAATTTCTAAAACCAATAAAAACTAAATATTAATATTTCGGTTTTCGTGGTGGAAATTGGTGAATCGTCATTCACCTACCTTTCAAATATGGTATAGCTTAGATTACGGCATACCTCTTCTAAGTTATATTATATTGTGATTGGATCCTAGCCTTAATATTACATTTGGGTGTTTTATTAAGGACTCTCTTAAATCTAAACTAAACTTGTTCTTCTCTTTCAGATGTCTTCAAATAATGCTTCTGGCTCGAATCCTAATGGCTCCTTTACTCTTATGAGTTTGTGTGGGAAAGTCACCTTTGATGGATCCAACTTCAATAAATGGATCAGAAACATCAGGATGATTACCCGCTACGAGGACAAAGAATATGTCCTTGACAAGGAGCTTAAGGAAATTGATGAGTCCACTGCAACTCCCAGGAGATCGCTGACTTTCATACTCATGAAAGAGATGCAACCAAGGTGGCTTGCATCATGTTGGCCACCATGACAGCTGAACTCCAAAAGTCTTATGAAGATTTCTACCCTTATGAAATGCACCAAGATTTGATGGAAAGATACCATCAAAGTGCACGACAAGAGAGGTACGAAGTCATCTGCTCCATGATAACAACCATGATGAAGGACGGAGAGTCCGTCACGAGCCACATGCAGAAAATGCAAAGGTATGTGGATCGTTTGCTGAAGCTCAATGTGAACTTCCCTGAGGAGCTTGCAATAGATATCATTTTGCACTCCTTACCATCGTGCTATGATCAATTCCGCATGACATATCACATGAACAAGGAAGAGGTCACCCTCAGCAAACTTCAGGGACTTCTCAAGACCGCAGAAACAGGTCTTAAGGGGAAGTCGGTTGCTATCACTCCTACTCCAGACTCAACTCCGGTCTTGGCAATCGGGCAAAGTCGAGGGAGGAAGAGAAAGAGATCTTCGAAGGGTACCAAGGCTCGGACCCTTGATGGCTCTTCTTCAAGTGGAACCAAGAAAGGTTTCATTACTCCTTCTTCTGACCCAAAAGAGGCTGAATGCTTCTATTGCCATGAAAAAGCTCATTGGAAGCGGAACTGCCCAAAGTACCAGCAGGATGTGAAGGATGGGAAAGTCAAACCCAACCATGCAGGTATTTACACTATCATTTCTAATAACTCACCCCATTCGAAATCTTGGGTCCTTGATACCGGTTGCGGTATTCATATTTGTTGTGACTTGCAGGGACTAGGAAGAAGTGAGAATGTGGAGCAAGGAAGAATAAACTTAATCATGGGGAATAGGAAAGTTACACCTGTCACCAAGATTGGAGTTTATACTTTATCGCTAAGTAGTGGGTTAAATTTAGATTTGAATAAATGTTGTTATTCGCCAGAAATGGCAAGAAATATTATTTCCTTTCATGCATTGTACAAACAAGGTTTCACCTTTTCGTTTGATAATGAAGTTGGTTCGATTAATGCTTTCTTTAATAATGTACTTTATTTTAAAGCATTACCTTGTGATGGTGTGTATGAAGCTGTATCTGTTGTAGATAACTTAGGAAATAATGTTTTGTGTATTGATTCTACTAATAATAATAACTTGGATAAAGCATCATTATGGCATTGTCGTCTTGGACATATAAGCAAGAAACGCATAGGCCAACTCCAAAAGGATGGAGTCTTGGAGTCGTTTGACCTAAAGTCAAATGATAGTTGCGAATCATGCTTACTTGGAAAAATGACAAAGTCACCCTTCACAGGCTCGTGTGAAAGGGGTGAAGGTTTGTTGGACCTTATACACACGGATGTGTGTGGACCATTCAAACATGCCACAAGGGATGCTAATCGTTATTATTTGACTTTTACTGATGATTACAGTAGATATGGATATGTCTACTTAATCAAGCATAAGTCAGAGACTTTCGAGAAGTTTAAGGAATTTAAACAGGAAGTCGAGAATCAATTGGGCAGGA